TAGAAGGCCAGCTATCATCACTAAGAACCAGATGCGGGAACTGTAAAGAGATGAGAGAACTCAATCAATTGAGGCAGATAATGAAGAACACCCACAAGCAAATACAGACCATACAGACACTCGAAGGAAGGGATCTACGACACCGCCGAGGATTGATAAACGCGATAGGATCGCTCAGCAAATCACTTTTCGGCACACTTCACAACGATGACTTAGAAAATTTGCATAAAGGAATGGACAAAATTTATGATGGACAACACAAATTGGCAAGCAGCATATCAAACCAGACAGCAGTAATCAGAGTACTGCTGGAAGAAGCTAACAGAGGCAGCAGAACGAACTACGACTCGCTCATCGAAGTGCTCAACAATAATACACAACAGATCCAGATGGTGCGGGCCTTGGAAGCCATGATTCCCATAACGCAAGGATTGCGAGACGACACCTCCACACTCCTGACTGCTATTACCATGGGTAAGCATGGAATCATAGATACGCAACTTTTAACACCTGAAATACTAGCGCAGGTTATCAACGGAGTTCAAAGCCAGAGACCTGGCGCCTCGATGCTGGACGGCCGACGGGACTACACGTTGCTGCTCGACATCGCCGACGTTGCGATTTTCTTAACGAGAGGGCATCTCGTGTACCACCTCTCGATACCCATCATGGAGAAACCGATATTTCAGCTACAACACCTCATCCCCATTCCACAACGAATCGGAAAACATCATATTGTGATCATCCCCGAATCAGAATGGATCGCAATAGACGAAACCAAGCGCAGCTACTTACAGACCGAACAACAGCAACTGTAAAACACACGCAAACACACGATACTGCAAACGCACGCAACCCACTTACCTCATCAACACTATTGACACATGCGACAGCAAACTGATTAGAGAAAAGACAATTGATACAAACGACAAAATTTGCACCAGTAGCTTATTCAAAATTCACGTTATAGCTATCATCGCGATAAAAGACGGATACATTCTTATACCAGAACGCGAACTCGTGTTACATGCAATATGCGATAAGAAGACCACACGCATCGAAATACGACGACCGACCATACTCCGCTCTACACAAGACTGCTTACTCCTGGGCGATCAGTTCTCACACCATTTGGCAAAAACATACGAATTCGAACAAACAGTAGTTTGCAGATCCAACGTTACGTTATCATTTTCGACATCTGACATGCAGTTAATTCCTGACAAAATACCTACACTCCACGGCACACTAAACATCGACACATACAGAACACTCAGTACCAATTTAGACCAGATCGAACAAAATATCGAACAAGTTAAGCAGAACTATAGGCATAGGAGTTGGATTGAAATCGTAACAAAATCTACAAATTATTTAGGCTATACAGCTCTCACAATATGCATACCCTACATTTTTTACCGTTGCGGACTTTTTTCACTATTAGGCAAACTCGTTTCCAGAAACATATGTATCGAAATCTTCAGCCCCAAAATCACATACTGTGTAAATTTAAAATCCCAGGTACTTTATAACGCGAACGCACCCACTCAAGATCTGCTGAACGCGCCACCGGGATATGAACCACCCTCAAAAGAAAAGAACCCTACGGTAAAACTAACACCTCGCAGGAGCAAGCTGGGTCTAGGACGGGGGGTGTAACGCTGACACTTCCGGCCCCACTCTCAGTCCCAACAAGAGATAAGACACAGGTATTGTAACGCTGACACTTCTCGCCCCACTCTCAGACCCAACAAGAGATAAGACACAGGTATTGTAACGCTGACCCTTCCCGCCCCACTCTCAGTCCCAACAAGAGATAAGACACAGGTATAAATAGGCCATTAATTATGCGAGCGAGCAGAGACATTCTAATAATCGGCCCGGAACATCGATCACAGTGTAAAAGTTTTCACTCTAAATGTATCAATTTTATAAAACTGTTGTAAAATAAACATACTCTGAAAAGCCACAGCTTTCCAGCTCCTTTTAAAAAAGCTAAGTCATTCAAATCCTGCGTAACAGACAGGACGCCGAGTGACAGGTGGAAATTTTCAAACCGCGATAAACTTCGCCCAGGACTAAGCAAAGAGTTGCCTTTATTTGTGTGGGTTCCCCGAGTGAAACCACACACAGTAGTATAGTTGTTTTATGCAGTGGTGGCCCCTATTTTCTGGAAACAGGAAAAACAAAAGCCGACGCCACGCGGACGCCATATTGGACGCTATCGCGGTCCCCATTTTCGACGCTACTGTGAACGCCATATTGGACGCCGCGAAACTGTGAAACGCGCACCATAGCAACGGTTGCTATGGCCAGCGCCACGAAGCCAGGAGCAGGTGGTGCAGTGGTCAAAATAAAGACAGCGGTGCCCGTGCCCGTCTCGGTGGTTTCGACGAGACAAAACGTCGGCACTCCAACCGCAATTATGGTGCAGGGGAAGAGCTGCTGCGAGGCAGCTCCAGCCCGAAAAAGATGAGCGAGCACCACTCCCGAACTAGAGAGGGAGGAGGGAATGAAGGAGAAGGAGAAAAAAGGCGCACTAAAGAGCAAGACGCGCAAACAACAACAACAGTAGTGGAAATAAAGAACGCGGCACTGAAGATCGAGGACCGCCTCGTCGCGATGCTTATGGACTCCACAAAGAATAACAAACAAGGAGGCAAAGACCAGGCTGTGCAGATAATACGCATGTTTAAATACATGCGATGTCTGCTGCAGGACGCACTAATGCAGAACATCCGTCTGGAGGGGAGCCTAGAGCAAGCGGAGAAGCAGGTCAAGAAGACCGAGTCCGCGCTCAGAGGTGCCGTCCAGAAATCGCTGCAGGCGACAAAGTTCCTGGAACGTGCAGTGTAGAAGGTAGAGGCCACACCACCACCAGCGAGCCAAACCTATGCGGACAAATTAAAGGCGGCCACGGCGAAACCAGCGGCACCAAGAAACATTGTAATGATCTTCCCCGATAGAACAAGTGAAGAGGCCAGAGAGGCGTCTTCACCCTGGTGAACCCTCGCAAGAGGGGGATGCAGGTGAAGGCGGTCAGGAGAATCAACGGCAACGGCATCGCCGTCGAAACAACCACGCCGGAGGCGCTGCGGGAGATAATAGATAACCCGCAGCTCAAGGAAGCAGGCCTGAAGACCAGAACACCAGTTATGCGCAGGCCGAGGATGATCCTTTTCGACGTACCGCGGGAGATTGCCGAGAAGGACATCCTAAGCTGAGCCAAAAAACAAAACAGCAAGGTTCTAGAAGGCGCAACAGCGGAAAATATCAAGTTCTGCTTCAAGACCGGCAGAAAGGACGGTGACGAGACCAACTGGGTGCTCGAAGTCTCCCCAAAAATACGAACAAACATGTTTGAGGCAGGAAAATTTTTCATCGGCTGGAACACGTGCAAGGTGCGTGACTTTACCGCAGTCAGCCGATACTACAAGTGCCAGGGGTACGGTCACGTGGCCAAGTACTGCAAATGCAAAACGGAAGTTTGCAGTCATTGTACGGGAGAGGGACACGGGATCAACGCCAAGAAGTCGCAACCGGCCGCCTGTGTTGGGCACGGCACAAAATAATTGCTGGAGGTTGTAGGAAGACGAAAACGATTTATTTGGTAGGACTCCACAGTCCACAGCTTACAATCCTTGGAGCACGGCTCCGTTCAAAGTATAACAATTTGAAGCACGGCTTCGAACTTGGTACGAAATGAAGCACGGCTTCGTACAGACTATAAAGTTGAAGCACGGCTTCGTACGTGCGCAAGGGCGCTGAATAAACTTGTAATGTTAACGATACCGAAATCTTTGACAATCCATCGTTATCGAAATGTGCGTCATTGCCTTCTCAAAGCAAAAACGCCGCGTATACATACGGCCGAGGCGAGCGTTTGACGGTCGGGCCAACGTACGTCGCTTGTGTTATTGTCTTGCTCCTGGCCGTTTATTCGACAAAAACGTCGAGACGGCGTACACCGAATGTCGAACGTACGTTGACCCGCGGTCGGCGATCCGGCTGGAACAGTCTGCATCAACTGCAGAAGGTTCGGAAAAAAGGAGAACATGCGGCCAACAGTAAGGACTGCCCAGCGCACAAAGCAGCCATAGAGAAGTCCGTCACCAGAACCATCTATGGGTAAGTCGAAAATACCAGATAGACACGGAAACGCGGCTGCCAGCACGCAACGGCAGCCAGGTACCGGTCTTCGCGCCGTCCGCGTCCACCTCGAAAGGTGAGACGCTAATAGCTTAGAACCGCGCACCCCAACACGCAATACCAGTATAGGATCCGCGATCGCGACCAAGGGAATTAGGGTACTGCAGCTGAACATGAGACGTTGAGCGGCAGTCACAGGAGAGGTACGCGAACTTATTTCCCAAAAGCGGCTAGTCGTCCTGCTATTGCAGCAGGCATATGTCAGCCAGCAGAGTACGTGGTACAAAATCAGTGGATTAGGGACCGGAGTGAGGGTGGCGGCTGTCGAACCACAACCTCCATGAACGGCTGTTGCCGTCTGCAACCCTCACTTCGATATCGTCTTCGTCTCGCAGCTCAGCAACTCCCACTGCGTTTGCGCGGAAGTGCTAGCACCCGGCTTCTCCTTTTACGCGGTGTCGTGCTATATTCAACACCGCGACGAAATAGAGAAGGCCAGCCACCGCGAGAAGGTATTCTGCGCATTGAGAGGGAAGAGACTCTTAGTTTCGAGAGACGCAAACGCGCAATCCTCGCTCTGGAGCCGGCAGGGCACAGACGAGAAAGGAGCTCAATTCGAGAACCTGATTGCGGCGTTTGGTATGGACATTGTGAACGACGCAGCTCAACCACTCACCTTCTGGACGACAACGGGATCGTTCCATATCGACGTAACCCTGGCGTCGCCTTCCATGTCTCCATTCATCAGGAGCTGGAACGTAAGAAGCGCGTGGACGACCAGCGACCACAACGTCGTTGACATAAGGCTGCGGGCATCTAGAGCCGTGGCGGGGAATCGCGGTATCGCGAACTCTCGGTTCGACACCCGTTGGGCCGACTGGGAGCGATTCTCCGAGACTATGTCCGATCTCTCACGATCGAGGCTCGAAGTCCTGAGGCTGGAGTCAGCGGAGGAAGCGATAGGAATGGCAGAAACACTTACAGCCATCATCAAAGATACCTGCACCGCATCGATGCCGAAGAAGCGTAGGTTTAGAAAGTCCAATCCGTGGTGGACGAGAGAGCTAACGAAGCTCAAGAAGGCCGTCTACCGACAAAGATATGCCTTCCAGAAAGAAAGAAATGAGTCCTCATGCCTCCAAAACCTGCAGGAGTACCACTCTTCTCTGTAGAACTACAGCAGAGAGGAGAAGAGGACGAAGCTCGAAAGCTGGCGAAACTTTGTATCATCGAACGGGAACACGGAGCCTTGGGGCATTGTGTACAAGCTACAAGCAAGCAAGCTCCGTGTTGAGAGAGTGCTCAGTACTCTCCGGCGAGATAGTGAAAGGCACCAGGACCGGACCTCATCGAGGTCCGCGCGCTGCAGGCCGCCGCGAAAACAATTATAGACCAGTTAGTTCATTTATTCAACGGGTGCCTTCGTTGGGGCGTCATTCCCTCCACCTGGAAGGAGGGCTCCCTCAGAGTGCTCCTAACAGGAGAAGGCAAGGACGTGAAGGACCCGAAGTCATACCGCCCGATATGTCTCCTTTCCGTCGTAGGGAAAACTTTCGAGAAGCTCATAAAAAGCCGACTCGAACAGACAGCGATGACAACAGGACGCATCTCCAACAGACAGTACAGCTTCATGCGCGGAAAGTCGATTGTCGGGCTGCGATTGCGATGC